AGAGAGAGAGAGAGAGAGAGAGAGAGAGAGAGAGAGAGAGAGAGAGAGAGAGAGAGAGAGAGAGAGAAGCTGCCGGACGGAGCAAAATCAAATCAAGGTTAGGTTAGGAATATAGGAGTGACCATACCACCCGAAGAAAGGACTGCCAAGGACCAGGAGGAGTTGGAGGTGGTCCACCATGGGGGTCGTTTGGGTCACCCATCCCAGGCCCATACCCCCCCCCCATTCCATATCCACCCCCCATTCCATAGCCGCCGCCCATTCCGTAGCCACCCCCCATTCCATAGCCACCCCCCATTCCATAGCCACCGCCCATGCCACCATACCCCCCATAGCCACCGTACATCCCAGATCGATACCCCCCTCCGCCATACATACCCCCCCCGTAGCTCCCCATGCCTCCTCCCATTCCGTACATCCCTGTTCTCCCATAGGTTCCATATCCGTATCCCCCGTAGCCGCTTCCAGCTGCACCCCCTCCATAGCCCGAAGTGTTGTAGCCAGTTCGACTCAGCGAAGAATTGTAGCCTGAGCTGCAACCAAGCCAACAACCATGCATGCCAAGGCAAGGTGAGAAGAACATGGTGGCTTCACAACCCCCCAGCTTCTTCCACGTACTGCTAACCCCAGTCCCAACCCCATGCACAGATTGCAATAACCATCATCTGCATCAGCAGACCGACCAATCACCTTTCCATTCAACCCATCGGCGTCTGAACATGATGAAGTCGCAGGCATGACTTGTGTCTGCCTCCGTGTAACAGATTAACACCTTCCATCACTTGTGACATCAGGGGCATGGACGTTGCATACGCTTGGTCTAATACAGAAGATACGACGTATAACAAAAGACACAAGAGATGAACAACAGAGAAGGCAAGGGTCAGCACACAGAGAGAGAGAGAGAGAGAGATTACATAGATTACATAGATTACATAGATTACATGGATAGATACGGACAGACAGACAGACACAGACAGACACAGACAGACAGACATACGGACAGACAGACCGACCGACCGATAGATAGATAGATAGATAGATAGATAGATAGATAGGATAGACTAGAGTAGAAAGAGAGGTAGGTAGATCAGATTAGATAGATAGATAGATTAGAAAGATAGGTAGGTAGATCAGATTAGATTGGATTAGACGGACTAGATTAGATAGGTAAAGAAGGTAGACTATAGTAGATTAAATAAGATTAGATTAGATTAAATAGGTAGATTACAAGACTATAGTAGATTAGATAAGATTAGATTAGATTAAATAGGTAGATTACATACATAGATAGGTAGGTAGATAGATAGGTACGTAGATAGACAGGTAGGTAGCTAGCTAGCAGCTAGGTAGACAGATAAATAGATGGAGAGAGAGGGAGAGAGGGAGCCAGGCTCTGAGACACATCACAAAACCAAGGAAGAAGAGATACCATGCGCACCAGCCTCTGAGAGCTCAAGCACGAGAGCGACAAGTTGAGAGCGCCATGGGGAAGGGGAGAGTATTGTGTACCTTGTTGTCCTGCTACCTCCCACGGCCTGGGCGGCATGGGTCTTCCGGCAACAACGGGCCCACTTGTCCCAAGCCCATTTCCTGCTCCAGCGATCCCATTTCTCTTGCCATCTGGTCCACCTCCCTCCTGGTTTGTACCATCACCTCCCCTTGAAGATGATGCCACAACTGCAGCAGTCCGGCTAGCACTCGAAGGCGGGGCAAAGGGAGAAGGCCCTCTGTTGCTGCTAGCTGCTCCAGAGGTCTCCCATGGCTTGGGAGGAGGTGGTCTTCCTATACAGCACATCACCGACATGTTGAACAACAACACCACCACCATCCTCATCATCCTCATCATCCTCATCATCCTCATCCTCATCCTCATCATCATTCTTCAATTGTAAGAACGTTGCTGCTGATAATCTAGATGATGATGATGATGATGATGATGATGATTGATCATCAGCAGCAGCAGCAGCATCTAGATTATCGCTTGTAAGAAGAAAACAGGAGGGAATACCAACGGTCTAACCTACCAACGAAGCTCTTCTTTTGCTTTGGGTTATTGCAGGTAGCCATCAGCTTACTTCTTTGGGGGTCTACCATGATGGGAGACCACCGTACAGTTCTCCCATGGTTCGCTCACCTGCACAGTTGCAGTCTCTGATAACCATGGGAGGGTTTCTTTTCTTCTTTTTTTTTCTTCGGCACTGTGTTCGATGACCCGCACAGTCGCAGTCTGACAACTCTACACTTTTTCTGAGAGAATGAATTGTTTCCTGTTGATCTGTTTGCTGAGAATTCCCAATTCCACATCGCAGTCTGTTTCCGGTGTTTTCTGCTCGGTATGTATGCGACCAGCCGACGCTGTATGTCTGCCGTATCCTTGCCTGCTGAGTTTTGACTCTCTCTCTCTCTCTCTCTCTCTCTCTCTCTCTCAGAGACACACACACACACACACACACACACACACACACACACACACAAACAAATCGAGCGCGACGACAGGGGGCAAGGAGAACACGCATAAGTAGAGAAATGGTCCAGAGTTTTTATCTTCTCTTTTATTCTGAGTTCGTTCTTTTGTACCCTGTCGAGCGATCGAGGGGCGTATGACGAGCTTTAGCCCTGATCGACGTCGCAGAAGAGCTAGCATGCGCAAAGATAACGCCCATGAATCCAGGAGGGGTGTGGGGACGCATGGAGCAGGAAGGTGGCGAACTTGGCGTCGCCACCTTCTCTCTTGTCTCTCTCTCTCTCTCTCTCTCTCTCTCTCTCTCTCTCTCTCTCTCTCTCTCTCTCTCTCGCGGCTGCTGCCGGGGGGCTCGAGTTAGTGAGATTGGGGCTGAAGGGGAGGAGACGGCGCATGGCAGTCCAGAG